ACAACAAATAAGATTTTAACTTATATTTCTTGTTATTTAATCCCCTTCACCAAACATGCCGAATTTTTCAAGAGTACAAATCGGCCATAACAAGTGCCCAACAGTCAATTGATCTTTGGAGAAACAAGATCTACAAAAACCGAACAAGCATAAAAAAACATTGATATGGAAATTGAACATCTAACTTCACAAATAACCTACGATATTATCCTGTTCTGGCGGCCACAACACGTCGACTGTAGAAATGAAGAAATTTTCGTGCAGATTCGGTATATTATGCATTGCCTTTTCCAGCTTGGAGAGACTGAACTCTTTGTTGTACCTTAAATATCTGCAAAGGCAAAATATGAAAGGAAATACAGTGACCTTTTGTCTAACAAGAAACGTATTATGTCAGCACTGCAAAATAAAGTAAGAAACAACCATGAGAGAAGAATGCTAAACTAATTTAGCCCCGTTTGGCCCTCATTCTCATTCTCATTCTTTTTCTCTTTCTTATTTTCCACCACACAATCTTCCATAAAATAATACTAAAGGCAAATAAAAAATTTTTCATTCTTTTTCAACCACACATTTTTCAAAAAAACACTTTTCCAAACATTAAAATTTGACAAGAATGGGAGCCAAACGGGGGCTTAAACATTTTCTGATATATTCGAACCCTTTTCTGTTGTTGAAATTGCCATAAGTCAGGAAAAAAGTGGAATTATACACAGAACCAACAGAAATGGAAATGAGAAAAATAAAAGTGATAAAACAAAATGCGGTAAATGAGAATTATAATAACACACACACACACACACACAAAGTAATGTGGGTAATTATTAACAATTAAAGCCCTTGTTGGAAAGTGATTAATTGAAAAGCACTTTTCCCCCACTCATTTTCAATCATACATTCTCACTATAATAATAAAATAAATAAATAAAACACGTTTTCCCATAACTTTTCTAGTACATTTTAACAACATTATCCAAAAAATTCACTTTTCAAATAATCAATTTCACACAAGCACAGCGTGTCATTAGTTATGTCAAACAAATTGATGTGCATTCCTACAAGGTCATAACATGCATAGCTAGTTTCTACTCCGAAATACATAATATGGGCAAATTATATGTTCGAACGCCGTTGAACTATAGATATATTGTCCTCCTGGATTAATTAAAATAACTGCAAGTTAAATATACATTTCTCTTTCAATTTTGCCTCAAATTCTGGTACAATCTTCTTTTTTTAAATCAGGAGATCAACATTTATAGTAAGTCAAAAAGCATGTTTGTGCTTGCTTAAAAGACTAAAGGAAGCTTTCTTTTGGTCTTTTAAGCATTCCCAAAAGCATGCAAATATTTAAGTCATTGGTTGCCTTAGTATATATCCTACCAAAAACTTCCCAGGTGCAAAGAAGTTTTTTTATTGGCGTTCCTCTTCAAGAACTAAATCCACCGCTAACTAACATATTTTTAGTTGATTGCATCAACATCATTACAATCTCTAGATAACAATGAAAATATCTTCCCAGTTGTGATAGCCAGATATCAAATAATCAGTTTCAGAAACTGATTGTCTAACAAGCAACTTATAATTATTTATAACCATTGATAGAGGTGTCTTGTTAGAACATGTCAGAATATTTAATTTATTAATAAGAAAAATTAAGCTTCGATAATTTCAATTGATAAAAAGTGCAATTTAGAACTGACAGTGAAAGAAGTCGAGACTAATTAACTAGACTTGAACGGTCAAAAGTTGACCATTACATGTTTAAATTAATTGGAGCTTAAATTAATTGCACCCACCCAGTCACTTTAATGGTTTCAATCTTGGAATGGGAATTACTTGCAATTTTAGACAATTAACTAATTGTGGAATTTATATCTGATTATGAAATTGCATAGAAATAGTTTTAGCTTAAATGGAATTTTTGATTTATCATAGTTTAAAAGGAAATAATGGCCATATTTAAGAATTATTGACAAATATGAATTTTTGTGTGGTAATTGGAGATATGTAAACCCCAAAACAGAAATTGTTAAAAAAGGAATTGACAGGGTCCCGCAAAAGCGGTGGAGCATATGCCAAATAGGATCATCCAATTCATATAGAACCTATCACTAAAATCTCCCCACATTAACGAGTAATTCTAATGCGGATGGGTTCGGTCGAGGATGCTCGATTCTAACAAAAGGGAATACATTGGTAATAACCCTACCTGAAGCAATTTTTCTCTCAATTCAACATTCCATACCATGGCCTTTTGTTGTTTTAAACAAGCACTTACATACTAGTACAATTGTTCTTGAAAGAACATTGAAGAAGGCTTGAAGTTTGAAGCTTTCAATTGTAGTGCAAATTAAGGATTTTGTTAAAACACTCTATGAGGGCAATGTACTAAAACTCCTATGAGTGATGTAGCAATCAATCCGTTTGTTTTTTATTCTAGCATCCTGTATTAATAAAAAACAAAGGGGTCGATAGCAAATTGAAAAGCAATTAGAATTCTATAAGTGCATATTTAAACTTATTAAACATATAGGAGTTTTATTATGTTAAAACTTAAGTATGCTTTAACAAAATCTTTAATATGCCACGCAATGAAAAACTTCAAACCTCAAAGCCTTCATATTCGTCCAATAAAAGAGGTACTAGTGTGTGCTGCTCATTAAAAAGCACAAAAGGCACATGGAATGTTGGATTGAGAGAAAAAAAGGAATTTTAACTTCCTCTCTTTTTATCTCTCCTCCATCCCCCCATTACCACACCAAAATGTGTGCAACCATTTAAATATATGGTACTGTTTGTCAATAATGGCTAAATATAGCTAATATTACCTTTCTCTTTTATTTTGTTATTTTAACTTAATTTCTCATAAGCTAAAACTAACTTCCACAATCAATTAACTGTAATTTATTAATTGCCTCAATTACAATTTTCCCGTTACTTGATTGAAGCTATTAAATGAACATATTTGGATACAATTAATTTAAGTTCCAATTAGTTAATCTTTTCTACGATTGAAGCTATTAAATGGATCTAATTGGAAACAATTAATTTAAACTCCAATTAATTAAATCTTGTACAGTTGAACTTAAATTGTTCAAGTCTAATTAATTAATCTCGATTATTTCCACTAGAGGCTCGAGACTAAACTCTTTAATCAATTGAATTTATCAAAACTTAATTTCTTTTAAATAATTCAATCCTCCAACAAATCGTTCTAACAAGTCACCCCGTCGGTAGTTAATAAGCAACTCGTTGCTTATAAGTAGTTTATTAAGTAAATTTGACCTATTACTTGTAAGCTTAGACAAACATGCTCTCATTTTAATTAAATAAAAAAAATACAAAAATCATTTCGACCGAGAAGAAACATTAATAAAAGGGGAAGACACAAACCACTTCTTGCTGTTTTGTTTTTCCTCTAATCATGAAGTGTACCATCCAAAAGCTTCCTAGTGTACAAATTAGACATTTAAACCCACTGGAAATTGTTAAAGAAATAATAATAAGATGTAAAGAGCAAAAAGCATCAAAGAAGAAAATAATTAACAATTTAAACTACAGAAGTTTAGCAACCAACAGTTATCTGTCCTCAAGAAATCACTCAAAGGATTCCCAGTTTACATTGTTCACTGACAACTTTATAACCAGTAATTTCAGTGCATGAATGAACAATAATATCAAAATACAAAACACATTTTAACAGAAAATGAAAATTTGTTTTAGAGAAAAGAAGGTGTAAAGGGAAGAAGAGAAGGTACTCTCATTATCAGAAAATTTAAAAGAAAAGAAAATATAATCTATTCAACTACTTTGCAAAGCAACAAGAACTATCTTATAAGAAAAGAACGTTTTTGAATTCCATCTCACAGTAAGCGAAGGACGAAAGGATGGTTTGGTACTGTGGATTGCTGAGAATTACTTGGCACTGAAAGGGAGTAAAGAAAATAAAGAAAGAAAAAAAATGCAAGGTGGAGAGAAGAGAAAATTTGAAGGAGCCATAAGTCATTAAACTCTTCTGACCTATCCTTGACCAGCCTCATGATAAAATAAGCATTTGAATATAAATCTTCAAAATGTGAAAGAGATTATTGCAAATATGGAGCTGATGGTGTATGAGAAGATTATCAATTTAATTACTTGAACTTTCATACAGGACCTTGTTAAGTATATTGGAAAGGACTTAAGTGCAAATAGTTGAAAATAACCTTTAGTTGAGACACATTAAGTCTAGAATGGAAGACAATAATTTTAAAGTCCATATTCATAAGGAACTTGAACATGGATTTATTAGCATTAAATGGGAGAATTTAGCCCCTGTTTGGGCGTCATTCCCTTGATAGCTATGCACACCCCCCTACGACTCCACCCTCAACAGGAGTCATCCATTAAAAAAGTCAATAACCAAGTAACAAATTGCAAGGAAAAGTGGTTCCAAAAAAAATAAAAAAATGCAAGGAACAGACACGAAACGGTCTTAATCAAAATAGGATAAAGATGTATCCCCAAGGACAAAAGAACTTAATTTTCTGAGTTAATGCAAGCATCCAGAATAAACAAATTAATAAAAGTCACAAGTAAACAACAATCAAAGTTCCTAAATTGGAAAAGAACAAACAATTATGCAGAGATGTAATCAATTCACTTACGGATGTTGGCGTTGCTTTGGCATTGGCCTTGGCCACGTCCTGTTTGACGAGCACTGGCCCGATTAAATTATAAACATTCGCATCCTCATTTAACAGATCCAATTCCTTCAAATGCCCCCCCGAATTAGAAGGCAGGCAAGGGAGAACCTTTAGCACGAGCTCGTTTTCTCCAAGCTGAATAGTATACTTTTTTGGCCTTAGGGATTCAAACACACAGCAAGTGTGAAGCTCGTGTTAGGTTTCACTGAAGGGTGGGGGAGTGAGGGGAAAACATGTCTTCTCAAGTTCGCTAGTTTTCTTTATTCTCGAGGTCTCGCAGAGCCATTGAACCCATCGCTGCATGTTCTTCAATGGAGGTTTTTCAGGCTTTGACTTCTCAGGGCAGAACTAAAATTCCATTTTAAATTATAATCACTATTTTTCCAATGGAAATTCGATTAACAGATAACAATATACAAATTGTAATTCATACTTCAGAAATTAAATTCACAGATAACATATACAATTATAAAAGTGTAAGCTATTCATCTCATACCTTCAAACAATTGAAGAGTCTGCCAAACAATTAAGAAGGGCGAGGAAGTGGTGACTACAAAGAGCCAAAAAATTACGGTTAAGAACATGTCAAACAGCCAGATATCTACTATTAACAAATGTAATCTAAAACTATAATTGCAATGATTTCTATTACCATTCACTTAAATTTATAAGTTTTTTGACTGATTTTAGGCCCAGGTTTCCACTTTCAATAACATTATGAAAAAAGTGAATATGACCCACTCCTAATTTTACTGACTAAAGAAAAAAAAATTGAAGGATCTCAACAAACAATCTAAAAAGTTGAAATCTTTGAAAAAACGCCAGTTAATCAGACACATAATTTTTTATTTTATTATTATTATTATTATTATTTTTTTAAAGTCCCTCAAAAGAGCAACGTACAGATAAAATCGCAGATACCCATTTTCAATTCCACATGAATAATTCAGATCAAACACTTATCCAGAAAAAAGTTCAAGAATTAGTTGGGAAATGGGGAACACAGACGACAAAGGAAGGGTTTTTGCCAGCATATGATTGTGAAAAATATGTTTGATACAACGTATAGCTAATAGCATGACTTTTGGCAATAAAATAAGACGAGGGAACCATTACTCACTTCTCGGGCGGGAGCCATGCGATGGTGCTGGAGCTCTCGCCGTGGGGAACCATTAGTCCTGGATTATTCTGGGTTTTGCTAAAGTAGTCAGAGTTGAACTTGTTATTCTGAAATAATTTATAAACACTGTAAAAATAATATTTGATATTAATTTGTTGAAAAAGTTTGATTAGTTACTGACAAACTAAAAAAATTGAAACTTAGGATAGAAATTTAAAAAAGAAAATTCATAAATATATTAATAAAATAAATTTATCTATAATAACTCTAAATTCATGTAGATCAATATTCATCAAGTCAAGATAAATGTGAATGTTAATTAATCGAGAATTAATAACACAAAATTCGTACAAAAGAATAATTTTGTAGTATTTATTGCAAATTGAAAAATTAAAAGTTATGTATTATTGAAATAATTAAATTATAGTATGGTTAAAATTGTTCAAAAAATAATTCTCACTTGAGATTCCTTAAATTTAGATTAATGTGAATGTTAATTAACTGAGAATTAATATTACAAAATTCATATATGACAAGAATTTTCTAATATTTATTACATATAAAAAATGAAAAGTAAAATATTATTAAAATAATTGAAATGTACTAGCGTTAAGATCATTTAAAAAATAATTCTAACTTAATGTGATATTTAGCCATGTTTGACGATGATTTAAATCTATATTTTAATTTAAATTAAAGTCAACAATCAATTTTAAGCACATATTCAATGGATTTCATAACTTTTAAACCATACATTTCATCATTTTTATTAAAATTTACTAAAAATTTAATTTTAATTCCCACCAAAATAGGCTTAATATATTATAGATTTGGGATAGTGATAAAGTTCGAGCTGAGATATTGGGCCAAAAATGCTTTTTTAAGGATATCAACGAGTCAAATCGAGCCCGCTCACAAGTCAAAACTCAAGACTTAGACTCGGCTTGAGTAAAATTAAGTCGAATTTTTTGGCCAGAGTCAAGTAGAGCAAAAGCTCGGTCATAAAATCGAGGCTCGACTTGAGTTTTCGCTCAAGCCAAGCCAATCAAGCTTTTGGCTCGAGCCTTTAAATTAGGCAATTGTACGCTGCTGAATTTTTTTTCTAAAATGAGCTGGCTTAACAAGCCACACAAGCCAACTTAGGCTCGGCGCGTCACCCCAAGATGGGGCTATGTAGAACCGAGTCTCGAGTCAGGTCGGCTTGGGCTTTTTTCGAAAATGGTTGAACCACGGGTGATCCGAGCCATCGAGCCAAATTGCCATCCCTAGGCCTTTCCCTTAACCATAAATTACAGTGGGCATGTTGTTCTCATTTCATTTTCATCCATCACTTATAAACTTGGAAGCAAATGGTGTTATTCATCGAGTGCTCCAAATCTTTTTCTTTTTCATAAAATCACTCTCGATCTTATGATTTTTTTTTTTATAAATAAACAAATTAAACCATAATTGAATAAAATAAATATTGACCTTAATAAAGAAAATAAAATAAAAACCAAAATTTTCCCGGTTACAAAGAATACAATTAAAGTTTCAATAAGTACTTAAGTGCCTTCCACGTGACTATTCGTCAAATAAAGTGTTTCATATAGTCTGGATCACTTTTGGATTTGTTACTTGAAAAAGTTTGTATAAATTTTTAATCGAATATCAAATTCTGGAAGCCCATAGCTTCCTTAGAGTTTTAGAGAATATGGTCAAATGCATCTTGACATTTTTTATTTTTTATTTTTATTTTTTACCTTGGATAGTAATGTATAAGAACTATCCTGGAAAGTGCTCCAAAACTTGATGCACTAAAAGTTCATTATATACAGCAATAATTTAATAATAATTTTTTTTTTTTTGTCATACCGACCGTCACCACCCTATGTATCAACATGGTCACATTAAATGATAAATTCAATTAAGCAAGAACATAATACCTATGTTATTGGATCTATCATTAGATGTCATCTAAACATGATGTTGGTCTTAGTGATGACAAATCACACTCTTAATAAGTAATAAGTCAATAGCCAGCCACCAGATGGTTATAAAGTTATAAAGCCAAAGGACTAATAGTATTTAGTGGAGTCTAGATGATCATCAATTTATGTGGTAATAGGGTCATTATTACATTTTTCAATTAAATTAAATGCATATTTATACATAGGAACAATATGATAGTCATACATTGTTACATAATCGATGATTATCTAGACTTTAGATAAATAAAATTATTTAAGTCAAAATATAAGTCATTGCTATTTAAAAAAGGGGGCCATTGTGCTACCTAGTAGGAAGCAAAAGGGATCATTGAGTATGATAAAATATGTTCTCATTGAAATTAATTTAGTTTTTTTATTAATAATTTTTTGTCTATGTCAATTTCAATTGTTATGACTCCAATGAGCTTCATCAGCCCATGTAAAGAAATCTTGTTAAACTGCAGGCGATATTGGGGAAATAGGTTAAGCTACCTAGATAGGTAGAAAACTCAAAGTCCACAAGTGATAGTGAAAAAATCATATCTTACTATTATGCCTTACCTTTACTTTGTTTTTATCTCTAATTAATGTTGGTTTGTACAATCATCATTCATAGTCGATAACAGAAGTTAAGAATAACATAATAACAATTAATGTGATTTGGTTGATTGAATTGTGTATTAGATACAGTGATACGTGCGTTGTAACATTTATCAAGACTTCTAAATTACATAATATTTGATTATTTGGATGAATTTCTATTTATATTATTGTATTGTGTTTTTAAGTTAAACCATAACTTGGAGTTAAATCAAGCAAATATAAAAAGATTTGAGCACGAAAATGACAGAAAGATGAAATATTCAAGTACAAAGATTTGTACACAATGAAATTTGGATTCAGTTGAACTAAGGTGTTTGGAAATAATAATGAAAATGTGAAGTGATTGATAGAACATTGGAAGGTCGAAGAAGCGAAACGAGAAGCCTACATTTGGAGGATGTGAAAGAATTAGAGCATAAAGTTTGGTACAAATACTTTTACAATATATATACCATTAGAAAGATAATTGAATTTGAAGTCAATGTAGTTTGATGCGAATACTTTTACAATATAAATAACAATGTGTATCATAGCATAGATAACTTCAAAACGTGACCAACCAGTAAGTCGATGTTGTTTTCAGCTTAGCGGCAAATGACTCCCATCCATTGGGTCTCCAACCAATGATCGGGCCTAGGCGCCATCCCTACTATGCATATTGATGGTCCATTTCGAAAATTATTTTTTAGGATCTTTGGCCTTTTCCAGCACGATTTTGAGATTTTTTTTGAAATTAGTATAAGTTAGAAAACCCTCATATTGTATTCTTTATACGACTATACTTCATAACAAACAACATACATTACCATATCTTGGAAATCAAATCAAAAAACATAAAAACTTTTTTTTTGGGGGGGGGGGGGGGAATCAAATAATGAATGACATGAATTATTGATAATTCAAACTTACAGATTTCCAGATTTCTTGGGATTCAAGATAGGCGTTGAAAATAGTCATTCATCTTCTTGTTCATAAAATAAACATGTAATACATATGTCAACTTCTTCTAGATTGGATTTCTTTACCATATTTTTTGGCTAGATTATTTATTAGGACAAACAATAAGCTAATTGAATTCTACTCATATTTTAATTTATTATTTTTTAACTTTCTTCTATAAATTGTGTTGAATTTGCATGATAGATTATTTTCATGCTTGTTAACAAGTTAATTTACATGATATTTGTTACCTCTTATTTTGAGATATTACACGCTAGAACACTTGCATTTCATGAATTTTTTGTTAAATTGAGATTTTTTTTCTTTATTTACGTGATTGTTCTATGTCCTTATGTATCACTTTTATCGAAATGATAGTCGAGAGAGAGAGAGAGAAAATTTTGATATGCAGAGATTGATCAACTAGTTCTCAATACATGATCGTTAATATTTTACCTTGATTTTAATGATTGACAACACAATACTTGGAACCAGAATATGAATTGAACATGAGTAATGTTAATTTTAATGAAATAGGGACTTCTAACTATTTTGCTAATTGATTACTCCCATGATATGTGCTTTCTCCATTAGTACTAAATTGCATAATATAGTTGTTGAATAGGAAAATCAAACTCAAAACCCGAATATTAGTAGTGAGTGTTGCATTAAAGTTAGGTTTAAAAAATATAACCAATAACAAATACTCATGGGACGATAGTCTACTTACTATATAATTTGTTATGATACCGTCCTCTTATGAAAAAATATCATAATGTAATATATGACTATAATGCACATACAATGATTACAAGTCTATTAATTAGTTAATTCTTGCCCAAAATTATAGTCATTGAGCGTTATATTAATGGTGGCAATTGAGAGGAAACTATTACATGTATATGTATTTTATTTATTTGATGGTTTATTTTTTTTATTTATTTACAAATTATTGGGTAATATTTATATTGTATAGTTTTCGATCGACTTAAAAACGTGACTAATTATTGGATGGAAACTTTCATAAAAAATTAGATGCGCTAATTAGTGGATGATTAAAAATAAGAATGCATCAAGATGTAGGAATACAAGTGCTACAACATGGAAAGATTAAGGATCTTAAATGCTATTAAAATGTAGTGCAAATAATATAAATTGTGGTGTGAATATAATTATCCATAAGAAAGACCTACAGGGATAGCTATGACATCCCATATTGCTTTGGCTATCGACTATAGGACATACGGATAATATTTTCTTGTTCGTCTTGTGTGATTCGAATATCCCTATTAATTTTTTATTTATTGATGTCTGCTAACCTGTGTAGTTAGTATTTTGTAGTATATGAAAAAACACTCATGGTTTGAAGAAAGAAGGTTCACAAACGAGGATTGGAAACGCTAGCAATTCAATCAAAAATTCAGAATCAAAATTAATCCTGTTCCAAGGATAATAACTCAAAAATCCCAATGTAATTAATTAGAAATATTGTATACACGAATACAATTATTTAGTTAGATTGTGGCTGTGAGGTGATGGCACAATGATGTGGATCCTATTGCTGATTGGATG